TGATTGACTAGAGCTGTTTGGCAAAAGTAGTTGTACCACTAGCTTAAATTTGTTAAATGACTAAAAAAGACATGCAATATTATTGATATAAAATTAGAATTATTAGGGGCAAAAACGAAAGAAAAAAATTAGCAGCTCCTTCCCAAAGACAAACGCTACTTGAGGTAGCTTTCCAAAAGTTACTTGCAAAAGACACAATCTTCAAAATAATCTCCTCCTATTTTTGGTCACCAAACAGCTCTACTAGCTTATTGACCAAGTCAATAAGACACAAGCTCTTAAATAAAACACTTTTTTTGGTTGCCAAACAGTGCCTAAGTCAAACTAACTTAAGAATTAGAAATTATTATGATTCTAAAAGTCGATTTGCCTTTATACTAAGAGGTTTTCTTTGGTGCTCTGAAAATAGCCCTTTTTTCAAATTTTTAAATTGACAAAAATAATAAATCAGTTAAGATAAGAAAGGGGTATTTTAGTCTTTTTAAATTCTTATCTAATTGCTTTATATCCTGAAAGCTTCTGTTGCTTCTTCCCTTTCTCATCGTCAATCTCTCCCTCTCAAAAAAAAATTTCTGCCATTGACGCTCGTGTTCGCTCTGCTTTGCATAGAGAAATTATTTTCTTTCTCCGCTCCCTGAGAGGAGTCTCTTCCTTAGCCACGGCGAGTTCGAACAGGATCAAGGTATGTAATCACTCATTAGAACCCTAACTTTTTCTTTGATTGTGGGAAAATTGATAACATGTTGTTTGCTAATCTCTGAATGGTACTGATTTGAAATTAGGAACATTCTTTTTCAATATTAAAACTGTCTATTTTGTTGGTTTGATCTTGTATGCGCACTTAGGGTTTATTTGGGGTAAAATTCAAACTTTATGCAAGTTTCTAATTGTTGTTGATAAAAATTGGTCAATGTTATTTATTAACTTCATAGTGGCAATTTCCCATTTGATCTGCATCGCAATATAAAAGCGCCGACAATATTACAGCAAGGATGATAGAGATAGATATTGTGTTCTTGCAAAATGTCCGTTAAGTGAATTATGATGAAAATTTAATGACAATTTCTGTGCACAGTAATGATAAATAAGAGAATAATCTATGTTTTGTCAAATTATAACAAATTAAGAAAGTAAAGTAAATCTTGCTAGGTGCGAGGTTGACCGGCCACTTTGGAATTTTTTGCTAAAACTATAAAAACGTATATTATGCTGACATCTAACAATTAATAGTGTTTCTTGTAAGAACCTTGTTTTTAGAACATTGTTATCTATCAGTGAACAATATTTAATAGGGTTAATATTTTGTTGTATAACTAATTTTTTACTAATGTCTCATTAAATAATATGCATGCCAGGTGAATCATGAAGCCCATCCTTAATGGAATACGAGGACATAATTCTGAATTCCTATACCACTGAAAATGAATGGTATGAGTTTTATAATTCATATGTCAATTTGAAGGGTTTTAGCATTCGAAGGGATAAAGTGAGATATGATAAAAATAGAAATCTTTACTATCGCAAATTTGTTTGCTTTAAAGAAGGAATTCGTGAAACTAAGCATATGGATAAAACAGATAGAACATATAAAGAACGAGCATTATCCAGATGCAATTGTGATGCATGTCTTGAGATTTTTTTTGATAACGAAACACAGAGATGGTTTGTTTATAGTTTAAGGGATATGCATAATCATGAGCTTGCAGGCCCATATGAAGTTCCTTTTCTTCGCTCTCAACGAAGAGTTGATGATGTACAAATGGAAGAAATTCATATGCTAGCACAATGTGGCATTCCTAAAAATAAAATTATGGATTTTACGGAGTATAGAGACGGAGGTTATGAGGATGTTGGTTTTATTAGAAAAGATATTTATAACAAGTGGGGTAAAATATCACGAAGAATAATAGAACAGGGAGATGCACAAACTGTATTGAATATGATGAAACAAAGAAAAAGAAAAGATGTAGATTTTTTTTCTATTTGAATAAAACTGACGATGAAGGCCATCTTACACATTTGTTTTGGGCTGATTCTCAATCAAGAGTTGACTATGAAGCTTTTGGTGATGTTTTATTATTTGACAGTACTTATCGAACAAACAAATATGCTATATATGTCTTTCATACCATTTTTTGGTTTAAACCATCACCGAAGAACAATAATATTTGGATGTGGAGTAGTTTGTAATGAAACAACTGCGAGCTACATTTGGTTGTTGAAGGCATTTAAGATAGCGATGTGTCAAAAAGAACCTTTGTCTGTCATTACTGACGGTGATAGTGCCATGCGTGAAGCTATTATCACAGAGTTTCCGGACGTAAAGCATCAGTTGTGTTCTTGGCATATAGGAAAAAACTTATATGACAATATAAGAAATCGTTCGGCTAGAGTTGTCTTCCAAGACCTTATTTCAAGAAAATATACAGCTGAAGTGTTTGAAAATAAGTGGAAAGAGCTTCTAGCTGAAGTGTTTGAAAATAAGTGGAAAGAGCTTCTTGCTAATAAGATAGGTAATAAAGAGAAAAAATGGCTACTAAGAATGTATGAAAAAAAAGAAAGAGCTTCTTGCTAATAAGATAGGTAATAAAGAGAAAAAATGGCTACTAAGAATGTATGAAAAAAAAATATTTATGGGCTGCTACTTACTTACATAGGCATACTTTCTTAGGTCTCAGAAGTACGCAACGTAGTGAAAGTATAAATTCTATTCTGCACAAATATCTCAACTATGGCATGACTCTTGTTGATATGATTCATCACTATGATAGATGTGTTTCAGGTGCTTGTCGAAATGAAGCGGCAGATGACTCTAAAGCCTCCCAATTTACTCCATATCTGAGAAATTGTACAAGAAAATTAGAGTTATATGTTGCTGATGTTTATACACCTGCTATTTTTGATCTAATTCAAATTGACATGCAAAAAGAAAAAAATTATTGTATCATAGGGCACAACATTGTTGATGGACTTCACAACTTTGTTATCGCAATTGACTCAAATCCAGAGGTGCGCACAATAGTTTGTTGTAAATGGGAAAGTGGAAAGTTAGTTAAGTTAACTTGTGAATGCTTGCAACTAGAAACAAAAGGAACACCGTGCAGCCATATGTTTTCCTTAATGAAATATCTAAATCTTACATCATTTCCGGAGTGTTGTATTTGGCCACGGTGGACTAAAAATGTTAAAGCTGGATTTGCTTCTGATAGACATGGCACGGTGAATGAAGTCTCTGGTCATGTAGTTAGAAACCAAAAATTGGTGAAACTAGCAAAACAAGTGTGTTATAAGGCAGCTAAGTCTGAAGATCAATTTTTTGAGCTTATGAATTTTCTTAATAGCAAATTAGCATCATTTAAACTGATGGAAAATAAATCTGAAGCATATAATGATTATAACTTAGATGATGGAACATGTGAGATAAATGTATATGAGGATGGAGATATAACAATCGTGCTAGATCCCATCCAAGCAAAGACGAAAGGTGCACCTAGAAAAAGATTGAAAGCATACAGTGAAAAACGAAATAACCGTTGTGGCATGTGCAACCAACATGGTCATAATATTCGGAGCTGTCCAAGTATTTCAGTAAACAACGTTGACAAACAAGATGTGAATAACGACACTAGGTAATTCTAATTAGCAATGTTACATTAAACGTTAGGCGCTTCTAGGCGTCGGACTTGACACCCAACGCTTAGTCGCCTAGGCGGGCGCCTAAACGGTTTCTTGGCGTTTTTTTTCTTTCTTCATTTAAGTGATGATCAATGAGATTTTGCTGAAGGTCGGAGGAGGTAGTGAAAGTGTTCATATTTGAAAGTTTATGAAGTTTGGAGGACGTGTAGGCTACGACACATAAAATCACAATCAAGGCCTACATGGTGCAATCCACGTAAGCATACAATGCTCTCCTAAACGCTCGTAAAATCTATGTGGGCAGCCTAAATACCGCCTAGGTGCTAGTTAGGCGGCCTATGTACCGTCTAGACCTAGGCGTACGCCTAAGCGGACTAGGCGGAGGTTTTTTAAAACAGTGCTAATTAGATTATGATCATTATATTTTTTTTGCATATTCTCTTATCTAAAATGTAAAAAATAATTAAGTTATGTCAATTGCAGGCGATATTTCCCATCTGAGATGACATGGTCACAAGAAGACTACAACCTGCATTGATATGAAACAAAAAACTTTACAAATTCTAGGTATGTAATATTATTGTACATGCTTATGGTTTATCTTTTGTTTGTATGCCTAGAAAAAAGCTAAAGAGTAGAATTATACACAAGCCCTGATAAAATATTTGTTTCGGTTAATAACTTCATCTTGTGTAAGTCCTAGAGGTAGTAAGTCATGATCTTCCTTTTCTGCTCCCTGAAAAGCAGATTTGATTTCCTCTTCATGTGAATGTTTATTACGTTGGCATGGCTTGATAGTATCCTCAACTTCCTTTGATTTTTTTGTGCAAATGGCATTTTTTCTGTACACTTCTTAATGGTTTCATATTTTCTAATGTAGCTTGAGGCTTCTTGTTGCTTTCCCTTTGCTCATGATGAGGTGACACATAAGTCTCACCATTCATCCATTCTGAATCCATATTAGGAGGTTCCCCTTTGCTCATGATGAGGTGACACATAAGTCTCACCATTCATCCATTCTGAATCCATATTAGGAGGTTCCATATTTAAATCTACATGAACACTATTTAGTCTCACCATTCATCCATTCTGAATCCATATTAGGAGGTTCCATATTTAAATCTACATGAACACTATTTTCTCCGACGTTACTATCATGTCTAGGTGGATTTCTCCTTTCTTTTTCAAATGATTCTCCTTTAAGACTAATGCAAATATTGCATAATATTTCTTTAATTCTCTGCATATGATTCTAGAAACAGAGGTGATAAAAAATTAAGTTAGGATATGTGTAAAAAAAAGTTTACAAGTACTATAATACATAACCAAATTTTTAACCTTTGAATAAAATTTGCTTTCTCTGATGTCGGATTTGAGTGTGGAAACATCATCTCTCATCTCGAAGATAGCTTGTGTAATTTCAAGCATATTTTTTTATAATATTTTCTAAGCAATGCACACTCCGTTCAACTGAAGCCATACGAAATGATAGCATATGTTTGTCCATGTAATCAAATGTTTCAACTGAAACCTCATCATTTTCCTCATCCTCTTCGTCTTTTTCCTTCTCCTCCTTTGCCTCTTCTTTTTCTTCTCCATGATTTGGCCTCAAGTTTTGACCAGCTTGACCATTGGATTTATTTTCAAAAGTAGCATAATGTTCCTAAAAACATGTTTACAAAGATAAAATTAAATATAATAGGAAGATTAAGTGGGTACTAAGCTAGATTAAATCTAAATAAAGAATCAATAGTTAAATCTCGCATACCTTTTGATTGGATGTTGTTGCATGGTGTCCTTCTGAAGCATCAGTTGTTTCTTGTTGCATGTAAGGCATCGCTAAATCAAATACTACTACTAACTGTAAGAAAGAACGTTAATAATGCACATTTGGGTTTAATAATATAAAATAATCCAATAACCAAACTAATTATCTACCTTTTTTTGTAATTCATGATACATTTTGTTATCAGCGCGACCAAATAAATTTTCATAGTTCTCTCTTGATGCACATCGCTTCTCAGTCCAATGTGCCATTATTGGAAGACTTTTAGCATTGTAATCAAAGTCATTACCCGGAAATCTGAAGTGCTCATAATACCACAGCTAATATAAATGACAAGCATATATAGTTACTATAAGATAAAATAGTAAAAATAAAATTATTAGCTCACTTAAATTAAAGAATTTACCTGTAATAGAAGCATACACCCATTTGCGTACTTAGCATTTTTTTTCCTCTGACTTGTAATGCTTGAAAATAAGAAGTCAAGAGTGAATCTAGCCCAATTGTATAAATATATTTTTTTGACATCAACCAGAATGTTTAGATAATATTGGGGTATATAATCCTTATCATTTATAGGAGTTAGCACAAGTCCCAGTAATAGAAGCACAAAAGATCTCTTAAAATGATCGTCTGCTCCATCAGATGAACCAATACAATTTATAAGGTGTCAGATTGTAATTTTCTTCGTGAATGGTTCAACATAATATTTCAAAATTTCCGGGTCAACACTTTCATTGCAAAGCATAACAATATCACCTTCAGCACGTAATCCCATCAAGTAAACGACATCCTTTTCTGATAGTGACACCTCGTAATCTCTTATTTTAATTATACGTGTTTCTATATTTACCTTAATCATTAACCAATAACAAAGGCAACGACGCATTCTTATATCAGGAATATATAAAATACCTCCCAAACCCATATCCACTATCGCTTGTTTTTGTACATTTGTTAAGCCACTTACGATATTGAACATTTTTGTTGGATTGCAATAAATACCAATAGACTCCTCTCTGACATTTTCTGCATTTCAATTAAATATCAAAAATAAGTACAAGAAAAATAAAATTATAACTCCTATATAAATCGCTTAAATATATGTGATTGTGACTTTATTTTTCTTTCTTTCAAAGAAGTCAATAAAAATTTAATAGCTGTATCACAGACAATTCCATATGGTAGATCACATCAATTTACTATTTCAGCATCATATAATTTTTAAGTATTAGATGATGGAATTTATGACTCTTTGGACTATGAACTGAAACTAAAAGTCTTTAATTTTGCACCATGGCCATATGTTCATGTGTGATAGAGAAAGTGCATGCATGCAAACTATAAGAACTTCTGTAGTAAAAATTACAGTCGTCTTTTAATTAGCTTATAAACATAGAGATTATGTTTTTAATTTAGTAACTAAAGCGACTACATCATTCTATATAATTAAAAAAATTTATGCGAAAGTTGCTGCTATGAAAGCTACTACATCATCTACAACGAAAGCAACGAAAGTGACTACATCAAACTAAATAATTAAAAAATTTAAGCATAAGTTGCTGCAACTAAAGGTGAGGCGCCTAATATTCGTTTGTCCCAACACTAAAGACAATACATCACATTATATAATTAACATTTTTTAAAAAGGAAAAAAACTTACCTTTCATGGCATTCACAAGATTTTTTGGAGACGGCAATCGAGTGCGGAGCGACGCGAGCGCCATCTTCTCC